GGAGGGACAAGGAGCAGGGGAGACATTTGTGCCCAAAGAGAGACTTATTTCCCAGTGAGATACTACTCTTAAGAGCATTAATGCCTTTTTTACTGATCATTCTCTCTCTTAAGAACCATTATCATTATTTTTAAATCTTTTCTAGGCCTGCCACTCAGAGTCCAGACTGGCTGGGGAGAGAGGAGCAAAGAGAAGTCCACAGGAAGCCTGAAAGGAGGATCAACATGGACTGTGTGTGCCTGGGAGAGGTTTAAGCATGACTAGGCAGCAGCACTGCCCAACCTGACAGGACAAGGTGGCAGTTTCCAGGGAATGCCACAGGAGATGGACACAGGTGTTTTGGTAGCTCTTAGAAAGCCTCAGACAACTCAGGATCTCACCTTAGACCTGGAGCAGACGAGATAAAAACTGAGGGGCGCTGCCATAAAAAAAGGTAAAGGTCCAGTGCTCACAGCTACAGCTGCCACAAACAGGAGCAGACTGGGACAGGCAGAGCACCTAAAACTGGGCTTAAAGGCCAGATCTGGCGTGACTACACACACAGGGATTAACACTTGGAATGTTCAGGACACGTATTCCCACGTGACTGGCTGACAAACAGCGACCTGTCCCAGCAGAACATTCCCTGGCTCTGTCTGGCTCCTGACAATGATCTGTCCCAGCAGAGCATTCCCTGGCTCTGTTGGGCTCCTGACAATGATCTGAGCACCAGACATCCCTCACACCTCTGCAAATAATGCTCGAGCAACTGCTGGGGAAAGGCAGAAATCCCAGACACCAGAGGCAGATGCTCATCGTCCCTGCTGGAATGAAATGGTTTTTGTCTCTGAGGTGACAACTGTTTTGTGGAAACAGCCCTCTGGTGCCAAAGTATTTTAAAATCTGTATTTAATGTATTCACTTAACGCTGGTCAGTTATAAATGGGACAGGTAAGGCAGAAATTGGGGATGGGACACCCACACAGACATTCAGAAGCTTCCTGATGTAGATGGGGACACAGGCAACAGGAATATAAACATGACAGAAGAGAAACCCAGCCTTTAAAATCAGATGGTTTAATATACAACCACAGAAACTTAAACTGTTTACAATCTGTCCTTGTAACTGACTTTTAACCAGGACAGTGACATTTCTGGTTTGACCCACTCGTATTTATAAGCTAATGTTTCACTAAGGAAATCTGGATTCCAAGCTTTGGCATCGAGCAGCTGCAGCCTTTGGATCCAACTGCAGCAAACTGGAAGGCTCCTGCAGTAACACCTTAAAAGTGGACAGGGCTACTGGGACCTTTGGTCTGAAGTGTATTCAATTATTAACTAGGAACTGCTTTCACCAGCTGTTTGGTGTTTTAAAGCACATTTACTGCCTGCACCTTCACAACCCCCTGCACTGCACAACTGAACCCCACAGTGCTGAAATGCAGCAGGAACGGCACGAACTTACTGGACAGAACCAAACAGATTTAGCTGGGATTTAGCTCCTAAATCCCAGAAGCACAGAATGGTGGAGGCTGGCAGGGATTTTCTGCTTGGCCTAAAGAATGGTTACTTCACCACAAAGTGAAGTAACTTATCTGGAGTGATAAGACCAGGGGGAATGGCTTCCCACTGCCAGAGGGCAGGGTTAGATGGGATATTGGGAAGGAATCCTTCCCTGTGAGGGTGGGGAGGCCCTGGCACAGGTTGCCCAGAGAAGCTGTGGCTGCCCCTGGATCCCTGGAAGTCTCCAAGGCCAGGCTGGAGCAACCTGGGCTAGTGGAAGGTGTCCCTGCCCATGGCAGAGGGGTGGAAGGAGATGATCTTTAAGGTCTCTTCCAACTCAGACCATTCTGGGATTCTATGAAAGCTGAAGCACTGAACATTAACGTTATTTACAGATACTCCCGAAAATCTTTGAGATGTAAAACTAAAACCATGAGACCCATATTTTAATATTTAAGCCCATGTGATGTCTGATGCTCCAGGAGTAACCCCAAGAACTCATTTCATTACAGGTTAAACCTGATCAAAATTAACTCTGCTTTGTTAATGTTGCCATTACCATTCCACTTTTAATTTCAATGTGGTCACTGAGTGTCATCATTTAAGTCACGGGAATTTATTTTTTTAAATAGAAATTTTGTTGAGGACACTGGAGCTAAAAGACAAGGTGAATCATCAGGGTTTTTTTTACCCTGAAGAAAGAGGTCCAGTCACCACTTTAACTTGTGGATGAACCAACACAACAGGATCTGCAACCCAACTCATCCAGCCCTCTCTTCCTGCTACTGCTCTGCTGGTTAAAACCAAGCAGGTCTGTGCTGACAAAAGAATCAGCTTAACTATGAAGCAGGCATTTCATCTGGAAATGGACCCTCTCCCACCAGGAGGATTCCCATTCACCATTTGCTTTTGTTCTCTGGTCAGCACTTCTATCAGCCACAAAATCCAGACTAGAAATATCTGAGGGCAGACCAAAGCACAAGCAACGGGGTGTCAGAGTAACTGAGGGGAGAAACCAAGAAAAATCAAGATAATACCACTATGAATGCAAACACCCTGTGAGCAGCAGCTGCAGCAAAAGCCAGAGCACCCCCTAATGTACCTGCTGTTCTATAATTTCCATATTCTATTACAGGGGGTGCATGTGTGTGTTCGGGACTAATTTTAGGGCACGTGCCTTTACTTCCCAGCACTGTAAATGACACCACCGAGTGCATTTGCTCAGCACCAGGAGAAATGCAGATGAAATCCCTACCTTGTCCCACAAGGCACATTTTTCACTTCATCAGTCTGCAACGTGGTCTGAAAGACAAAGACAACCCGAGCTCACAAACCGCTCCGCTCTCCGGGAAGGTCCTGCTGTGCCCACACTCTCACAACGGGAACACGGAGCCACAAAGGCATCCTCTGCCTCCCTCGTGTGTGGGAAGAGGACAAGGCTTCTTCCCACCTGCCTTCTGTGGGATGGACAGGCAGCTGTGCCCATTCCCTGCTCCCAACTCCCACGTCACAAGTCTTTCCTGGGAAACAGTGATGGCCACAAACATGGACCGTCCTCCCAGAGCAGGACATGTGCTGTCCCCAGCAACTCACACACGTGCTGGGCACCCCCACCCTCCCAACACCTGCTCCTGCCAGAGGAGAGGGCACCAACCTGCACGGATTTGAAGGTGGTGATGAAGGGGAGCATGATGTGGTAGCCGGGTCCGCTCGGGCTGGTTAACAACGCACCGCCCCTGCGGAGAGACAGGAGAACAGGGAGAGGCTCCAGCAAGCCCAGCTTTGAGAACAAGCAGGGACACTCAGCTGCAGGCACAGCTGGGGGAGTGAGAGTTACACTGCTGCCCCAAATTTGCCACCAATTCCCCTAGAAAAGGGCTGAGTGCTCCCGCTGTTTGCCTGTTGCAGGCTGACAATCGTTCCCTCGAGCCCTGTGAGCAACTAACCCTTAGAGGAGGCAGCTATTGCCAAAGCCTCCCAGCATTGCAACACTGCAGAGCTGCAAGAACACAGATTTTTCCTCTCTAAATAGTTCTCTGGTAACCATGGAAAAATCCAGCAGTGGACGTGATGCTGTCAGTTTGGATTTCCACGAGCCCCAAAGCACCAAGAGACGCCCCAGGCTCTCGAGCTCAACACGCTTGGGATTAAAGGAGAACAGCCCACGGGGGTGAGTGGGAAGGGCAGGGAGAACATTCCAAAGCACCAACAAAACGGGTGCCCTGGCTGGGGGTGACAGTTTGGGACAGAGGTGGCGGCTCCTGCTGTAAGAGGAAGCGATCAACAGATGTGAGAAGATGGGACGGATGCTTTGGATCTCTGAGCTCTGAAATCCAAACTGTGAAAAGGGAAGGGAGGAGAGGGAGGGAAAGCAGCTGAGGATTCAGAGAGACCTAAACTCCCAAGGGTTCTGCACAGAGCCAAGGTGCCTGGGACTCATCAGGGAGCAGAGACAACAGAGGGAAAAACTGCGGGCGAAGGCAGGAGAGAGCAACCGGCGGTTCCAGGACGGATCCCGGCGGAGGGAGCAGCTCCCGAGGGCAGTACCTGTAGTACACGGCCAGGTGTCCCTCCTCGACCCTGTGGATGGCGGAGTAGAGCAGGAACACGAGGAGCGCCGAGGCCGCCGCGGCCGCGGCCCCCGCCTGGGCCATGGCCATGCTCGCATCCCCCCGCGCCGGCACCGCCACCGGCACCGGGACCCCGCGGAGAACGGGCCCTGCCCTGCACCGGGAACAGCCACAGCGATAGCGACAGATCCCCCGGGATCCGCCCGCACCGCCCCGGCACCGCCCCGGGCCCGGCACCGCCCGCGCCGGGCGGGACCCGCACGGGGCCCCCGCCGGGAGGGACCGGACTGCGGGACACGCGGGATAGCGGGATACCGGGGACACCCGAGGACACACGGGACACCCCGACCGCGCCTGTCCCGGCCCCGGCCCCAGCCTTGCCCCGGCCCCAGCGCTGCCCCACCTTCTCCCCGTCCCCATGCAGTGCTTGTCCCTACTCCATCGCTATCCCTGTCCCACACCTGTCCGTGCCCCAGCCCTGTGCCGTACCTGCCCCTGTGCCCGTTCCTATCTCTGTCCCTATCCCGCCCTATTCTCTATCCCATCCCTATCCCGTACCTGTCCTATCCCTCCCTCTACCCAGTCCCTATCCCTATCCCATCCCAATCCCTATCACATTCCCAAGCCTTGTCCCTATTCCCAGTCCCGTACCTGTCCCGTTCCCTATCCCTGTCCCTGATCCCAATCTAATCCTGTACCTGTCCCTATCCCATCCCTATTCCCAATCCCATCCTGTACCTATCCCATCCCTATTCCCAATCCCATCCCATACCTGTCCCGTTCCCCACGTGCTGCCGAGGCCGCGCTCCCGCCCCGTCCGCGCAGGCGCGCGGGCGCAGGGCAGCTTGGGGGGGTCGCGGTTGCGCGGAATGATGACGTCACAACATCCGCGCGTTGCCTGGTAACGGCGTGAGGGCGATGGCGGCGCGGGAGCGACCAGGCCTCGGGCTGTCTGTCCGTCTGTCCGCACGGTTTATTACATATACACGCGCTATACATTCATGCGACACGCGGCAGCGGCGGCACCCGACCGCGTCCCCCGCCCAGAGGGCGCTCCGCGGGCCGGGCCCTCGCCGCTCCCCCGCAGGCACGGCCGGTGGGTGAGGCACTGAGGTGAAATCCCCGCCCAGGAGGTGTCGGCACCTCCGGAAGCAGCTCGGCAAAGGCTACAGGACACACGGTGACCGACGGCCCGGGGCCCACACAGAAGGCACTTGGGAGATGCAGCACCTCGGCTCCTGTGGCTACTTCAGCCAGCTCCAGTCAAAACTCTGCAAGGAAAGCAGGGGAACAGCTGAGTGCAGGATCCAGCTCCTGGATGTGGGTCTTGTTTGATGCTCCCAGGAGTGAACAAAGCACAGCATACCCTAAACCCCAGAAGCACAGAATGGTGGAGGCTGGCAGGGATTTTCTGCTTGGCCTAAAAAATGGTTACTTCACCACAAAGGGACTTTGGACGAGGGCCTGGAGTGACAGGACAAGGGGGAATGGCTTCCCACTGCCAGAGGGCAGGGTTAGATGGGATATTGGGAAGGAATCCTTCCCTGTGAGGGTGGGGAGGCCCTGGCACAGGTTGCCCAGAGAAGCTGTGGCTGCCCCTGGATCCCTGGAAGTGTCCAAGGCCAGGTTGGACGGGGCTTGGAGTAACCTGGGCTAGTGGAAGGTGTCCCTGCCCCTGACAGGGGTGGGACTGGATGAGCTTTAAGGTCCCTTCCAACCCAAACCGTTCCATGGTACTCAGTACTCTCTAAAGTCCCACCTCTGCCATGAGAAGAGATTTTGTTCATCACCCAAAAGGGCTCTGGAAATGTGAACCCTGCCCACCCCAGTGGTGGGACACAAACCAGGACTCTCCAGCTGGGAATGCAACCAGCATTCCGAGCAAGATCTACCAGCCCAGAGATCCAGAGAACAGCTGACACCAGCACCAAGTGCTCCCTCCTCCTGCTCAAGAAGTTCTCCACATCCCCAGAGCACCCTGATGTGGCTCCAAAAAAACAGGACCTGGGAAATTCCCCATTCCTCACCAGACTTACCATCATGCTGTTCTGCTCCTGCCTCACCTCCTGCAGGATGCTGCTGAAGAGTTCCAGGTAATTCACATTCTCCTGTATCACATCAGCAAAATTTTCCCTGCAGGGGAAAAAGAAAAAAAACAAACAAAAGATGACAAGATTTCAGCCACCCAAAGTAACATCAGAAGGTGAAAAAAAAAACACAAACCCAAATCCAAACCACCCCAATAAGCTGATTTATAGTCCTCTGCAGTGGTAGGAGATACCTTGGTAGGATAAGCAAATCCAACCCCAAGGAAGAGCAACATGACATAGGAAATAAAAGAAGAATATTCAGGAAATGAATAGCACAGTGCTTTAGCTGAGAGTGGTGTGTGGAACTTGCTCAGGAAGAGAGAGTGGAGGTGGTTTCTGAGGAAAGAGTTCAACCAAATTCCTGATTTTTTTTTAGAGCATTAGTAACATTTGAGCTCCTGAAGCTTATTTTGGAAGGATAAAAATCCCACCTGGACACTGAACCAGATGGATTGCTTAGGACTCACCCAAACTTCAGACCTCCACTCGAACTGAGACGTTTTGAAATCACAGCAGTTTTAAGAAGGACTAAACATGGCCTGATCTATCTGGGACTTGCCAGAGGTGGCTTACAGTGGCTCCAGTGAGGAGCTGGACAGTTCAGCCTTCAGAGGATGTCAAAACCTGCCTTCCCAGCACATCCCAACCCAGCCCATGGGATGCCCCAGTGGAGGGGAGAGGCCGTGCCCTCAGGCCCCTGAGCAGCAGAGTTGGGGAGCGTGTGCACACACAACAGCCACGCTGATTCCCTGCAGTTCTCCTTCCCCAGCATTCCTACCCTTCCTGAGGAGCTGCCAGCGAGGACAGAGGGTGGGGAGGGGCGTTCCCTGAGGAGCCCTGTGGGAGCCATGCGGCTGCGGGAGTCGAGGCCGGCCCTTCCAGGCTGGAGCTGACCAGGGACCGGGAGGAGCTCTGAGTCTGGAAGACACAAATCCATCGGCTGTGAGGGACAAAGGTAGGATTTAGGGTTCACTCTTTCACAGGTTACACAGGAGCACTGTCTGTAACACAGACACAGCCCTCACGTGTGGGAACTGGGAGATGGCTGCAGCTGGAGAGGCTCTGTAACTAATGCAAAATGAGCAGTATAGTCTTAAAACACCCTAAACTAAGCAGGAAAGCACCTCTTTAGCTTTTGCTTTTACCATCTCACACTGCCCTTCTCTGTGGAAAACAAATCAACCATGGTGTGGCAGTTATGCCTTTCTGGTCTCCTCCCACTGTCCTTTGATGTCTCCTGGCTCTGCCCTGGAAGGAAAAGCAAACAGACAATCCAAGAGCTACTTACACAAGCAATTTTCAGCAAATGCCATATCTCCCTTTGTCTTTTTCCCTGCATCTGCATCACTGAGTTGTCAGCTTCCTTGATGTTATTTAGAGCCACTTCAATCTCGGGAAGCAAGTCAATGATCTTCTGCTTACAGCCCAAGAGCTTGCTAGAACAAAAACCAAACACAAAGTCACTTCCCTGCTCCTGTGGCAAAATCAAAAGCCTCACCTTGGGATTCAAGACACCCAAAGAATCAATGAACAAATCCCTGTGATATCTTCTCAGCTCTTACACTACTTCTTTTTTTAACTTAAGATTTCAGTGCCAACCTAAACGCTCATTTTAGTGAACTCCTGGATCCTAACAGTGCAAGCCATTCCATTCTCATCCCCTGCCCTATTATCTATAAACATCAGTTATAAGTTTTGAAAAAGTGGAAATTCAACACAGAGAAGCAGAATTAATACTGGCATGAGAAACATGGATGGAGTTTTGGGCTCTGACCTCTATGATTTTCACTCTCCTTTCCTACTACAAAGCTACAAATGCCACAAGTTGCATCTGTTTGGGGTTTTTTGTGTGCATAAAATACCTGAGATGGCCAAAGAGTTCCTTGAGGACTCGGTCTTGGCTCTGGACTGTCTGCACAATGATCTTCACCATGTCTGTGCTGTCACTGTAGGCATGATCTGGAAGGGCCAGCAACCACAGTCAGTCAAATCAAACAGGATTTTTTGCATTTGAGGTCAGAAAAATTAATTGTGGGGTACAAATGTGAAACAGTCTTTAAACCATCTCCTTCCATACCTGGAGGTCTTGTTTTTAATTGCTTGTACAAGTCTATGGCTCTCTGTTCCCTTGAAAAAGAAGAATATGATTCAGACGTGTCAAACAAGCAGGGGACTCAAGAAAAAAAAGCATTGCAATGAAGTGATGCCTTTCTGAACCTCAGACCTTGGAGCTGCCACCTTCTCCTACAGCTCCTACACAAGCATGACTTTTGGGACACAGGGATGCTCTGTGATGGAGTCCAACACTTCCCTAAAAGCTGTCTCTCTTTTTTTCTCTGAATTAGGCATTTTCTTCTCAGAAAACCACACCAGGTGGAGGTTATTTTCAGTTTCAAATTTCCACATGCCTCAGCTGTGTTTTCTTTCCCTGGTATCCTTAGTTATTAAACTTCACTTTTGTAACTGTAACTGCACAACTGCCTGAGAAATTCTTGTTCCTGTTCTGCATTTCTTTGCTTGAATCTTAGTCATAATCTGCAAATGGAAAGAGACAGTTGTGTCACAGACAAGAGGACGTTGTTTCTCTTCTTCCCATTAAATAAACGTTACTTCTTTCAAATATTTCAAAAGCAGCCAAACACTGAAACTTCCAGCCTTGAACAAATCCTCACTGTTCTAACCCACAGTCTGTCAGAAACAAGCAGCAGTTTCCCAGCTCTAACCCTGGGCTGCAGTGGTGGAATTGCTTAAAAAGCAATGTTTTAGGAGGCAGGTTCACGATTAGTTGGAGCTGCTGCTGCAAGGGGTGGCTTCTCCCCTTCACCACTTCCTCCCCTGGGCACCAGTTCTGCTGCTGCTGCAGCTACACGTGGATGAAAAGGAACTTAGCCATGAGGGAGGGGGGAGAACATGCCAGGAACAGGCATGTTGAACACTCAGAGTCCTTCCAAAGAGCTCTTACTAACAACAGATTTAGTGGCTGCTCAATCCCTCTCTTTTAGAATCACCACTTGTGTTCTCAGCAGCAACCCAGTAACTGCTTCCTGTGTCTTCCCAAGATCAGTAATACCACTTAGCTCTTTCCTATTTTAATACTTTAAACAAAAAAAAAAACAACTTTCCAAATATTCAAGTACCCACAAGTGATTTACCCTTGCTTTGAAAATACACTGAAGATATTTAGCAGGGTTTTACAATGATCTCATGGTTTTCTCACTCAACACTACAAAAGTCACCCCTCTCCAAAGCAAAAGGAAATCCTGAGGTGAGATCAAGATATATCTTTGCCACAGCCTCTTGTGAGATGAGGTTTCATAGATCAGTGACACAGAAGTGTCCCATAAGTGGTGGCACCTTCCCTTCCAGTAACAAAATGATCTTGAACCAATCACACACTACTCTGCACTGGCAGTTTGCATTTCAGAAGCGCTGAGGCAACCAGCAACAGGGGGGAAAAAGCCCCTAAAAATCCAGAAAATCCATTTCTGTGCCATAGAAATAAGCAGCAGAGGACTTACAGGCTCTCCATGACCTCTCCCTGGCGCCTGGCATACGGACTCTTCTGGAGCTCCACGATTTCTGTGTGCAGAGCCATGATCTGCTCATCCAGATACCCAATATCTTCAGCCTAATGGGAAAACGGAGCTTCAGATCACACTGAAGGAGGAGAGCAGCCAAGGAGATAAAAATCCCCAAAACACCTGTTTGGATAGTGGGCTGCCTCCTCGGAGAGTTTAGGAGAAAGAAAAGCTGCTACAATAGTTGAGGTGGTTGTTCTCAGTGCATGATATGACCTAGATCCAAATTTCTGTCCACCACAGTGGAGGAGAAAAATCAGTTTCTTCATAAATCATCTCTCTGTGTGTCTGGAATTCACACAGGTTAAGCTGCCTACCAAACAGACTGAGATAGCCCTGTGTATCCCAGAGTGAAACATTTTCCATGCCTGGCAAATGGACACAGTGTGAATGACAGAACATAGTTCTGATGGCCTGCAAAGGAAATGTTTGTTGAGGTTCCTGGTTGTCTGGAAAACAGCCAGGGACAGCTTTGAATTATTCTGCTGGAAGCAGCCTCCCTTTTATTTTTCTTGCTTCCTGACAAGGAGAAATAAGATTTAAAGAGCTAATGGGCAAAATTTAGGTGGGAATCCCAATTCCCCCATCTCCATCATATAAGCAAGGCAGAGTCAAGGCTCCAAGAGCCTTTTGACTTAGAAGAAGACAGGCAATGGAACCCAGAACCTGAACTACCCAGTCTATCCCTACAGAGAGGCAAGAAATAAGCCATGTAATTTATTGTCTTCCTAATGGTGTCTGGGATTTTTATGTATTATTCACAGTGCTCTGTATTACTGTGAGAGCCAATGCAAAAACTCTAGTTTTGCTCTAACTTTCTCAAGGATGACTCTTATTAAAAACTAGTTTGCATATTTACTTGCAGAATGCCAGAACTTTATGTCTGTGCTCCTACCTGTGCACACTGAGAGGCTTTCTCTTCCATTTCCTTCCAGGCTTTGAGCATCTTCTCTGAAGCTTAAGAGAAAAGAGTTGTTAATTTTTAAACAGGATACAGACACAAAAATAAAGCAAGACTTGGACTTTACATGTATCCATTGAATTTGAACACAAAGAGAATGATGCTGAATCTCCAAGCAAAGCTGCAACTCCGTGCTCGACCTTAACTCACACACTAACTCTTTGGTAGGACTCCACTGTTTGCAATCACTGCCCTAAAACAAGTCTGAGTCTTTAAACTCCACCATTAAGCTCAACAACTGCCACTTTTGATTGAACACAGACTGTCCAAAACCAGTTCACCGAGTCTTTCCATTTTCCATCATCATCCTTCAGCCCAGTCATCATTTTTGGCTCGAGCTGCAGTTTTTAGCCATATAATCCAAACTGTATGTAAATCTTGCTGTTCTCCCCTGAACAGTATTTGTAAGATCCAGACATTTCTGGGACATTAAAACTGTAGCTGGTGCTTTTTCAGCCCATCTCTCATCCTGACAAATGGCACCTCTGCATATCAAGCACAGGGGCCCTTCCAGTGTCAGCACGTGCAGCAGCTCTGCCCTCCACTTGCTGCCCAGTGACAGCTCCACAGAAATCAGACTCTGATTGAATGAACAGCAAACATTCACATCACCTGCACTATTTATGCTCCCATGTTCTTGTTCTCAGTGGGGAACAGCTGACCACCTGTCTCACTGTCACTGAAGGTCTCCAAAAATGGTCTATTTTTTATCCTCCTGCCTTTGCTTCTGCCAAACCCTTCTCCTGCATCCACCTGAGCTAAAATACACCCACAGTGCTGCCTGCCATTGTCAGTCTGACCCTTTCCAGCATCAGAAAGGCTCCAGGCAGGTATTCCCCAATACCCACATATTCCATAGGCCATCTGGTCACTGTATCTCTCCAGGTCGAGGCGAATGCTCTGGTGAAAGAATTCCAGCTTTGCTTTCAGCTGCTGGGATGCTGAGACCATGTTGTTCTTCATTTTGATCAGGTTGGCGTTGTACCGGAGGAGGCTGAGCCTGATGGATGAGACAAGGACAGCACAGGTTAAGCTGGACTGAAAAGGAGGAAACTCCATTGCTGTGAGGGTGACTGAGCACTGGCACGAGCTGCCCAGAGAGGCTGTGGAGTCTCCATCCCTGGAGATACTTAAAAGCTGTCTGGATGTGGTCCTGGGCAACCAGCTCTAGGTGACCCTGCTTGAGCATGGACTGGGCTGGAGAACTTCCAGAAGTCAACCTCAGCCATTCTGTGAGTCTCTGAGTATATTCCAGTTTTTTTCTCAATGTCAGGCACTGCACAGTAAAACTCCTGGAGTGGAACCAGCTCCCAGCCTGAGAATGTTTTATAATGTAAAGGTACAGAACAGCACAGGGCTGTAAAACTTCGGGGAACCAGCACTCCCTGAGACACACATTTCCATGCCAACAGAGTCTGTGCTGGCAGCACAGTGACTGCTGTGGATGAGTGGGAACTCACATGGCAGCTCTCTGGCCCTGGAAGAGCCTGCTGTAATCCTCCTTCAGGCCAATCACGTAGTGAACCGCTTCTGCCCACACCTTGCGCAGCTGAGGGATCGGCAGCTGGATCTTACTGTCCTGGACTGAGCACAGGAGAGACACAGGCAAACAACAACCCCAGGAAAGGACTGCAGTGCCTACAGCACCCCTCATTCCTGCTGCAGGTGCCTGAGATAAGGGATCAAGCCAGGTAAGCTCTGCTCAATTTTTAAGTGTGTATAAGCTTTTCATGTCACAGCTCCTCAGGGGTGTGACAACCTGCTACTGGGCAGTAAAACACTATGAGGGTTTTTGTCCCAAAAACTCTAAGCACATTTAATCACTCCATTTAATCAATTGTCCTGACACCTTCCAAACTTGTTCACATTTCCTCCCAGACTCCTGGTGTAGATGTTTAGGGGAAAAGATGCAGGACTTTGTGTGTTCCCCTATAGAGATGGGAACTGTCAGTACATTGGGATATCAGTAAATATGTCGTAAGATTTAGCACAATGCAATGAGATTCACCAGACTAAAAGAACCCAGAACACAGGAAAAAAAAACAATCAGAATAAACCTGAGTGACACTAAAAGGAGATGAGGAAAACCAGTGCAGACAGGCCAATGAAAATAAAACTGCTTAACAGCAACTGCATGTCACAAGGCATTTCCTTACATGCAGTATCTCAGCAGACATCTCCTGTCCCCTTCACTTTTCTTTCATAGAGGTACACAAGGCCCTTCATACAGATATATTTGGGATATATAAACCTTCAGAGGGGTTTATTAGGTCCTGCAGATGACTGCTGTCATCTCAGGAGACATGCAAGGGAGGCAGCAAGCAAAGAAGCAGCTTCCATATGTGGTCTGAAAGCACACCCTGGAGATGCCAGGGCTCTGTCACCAGGCCAAGGTGGATCTTTCATTTCCCACAAGGACCAGCACTCCTGCAGCACACTCACCAATGTAGTTCACACAGTCAGACAGGCTCCGAGAAGCGAAGGGGCCATCGTAGACAGTTTTGCTTTTGTCAAACAAATAGACCATGTAGCTGTCCCAGCCTCTCTGGGGAGAACAAGAGAAGAAAATATAAAAAAGAGAAACCCCAAACAGCTCCTACTAACCCAGAGAGTCCTGGTTACATCATGAACTACTCATTGTGGGCACTCTCTTCTTATTAAGTGCCTTAAAAAACTGATTTTATTGATCCCACAGAAAGAAAGGACGCTTTGCTAACAATTATTCAAGTATTTAGGCAGAATTTAACTATAGAAATCTGCTTACATTACCCAGTAAAAGGCCTTAAGAGTTACTACACTTCCAGAGCAAATTACCTCCTGTGGGAGAAGGTTCAGGCAACGTATCTTCCCTAAGATTTTCAATTCCCTGAGAACGGGAAAGACATGAAATGAACAGAATCATTCTCACCACACCATCAATAACACACTGGGAAGCAGGTTTCCGAGGGTCCAGGCAAATCCCTGTTTCCAACAGCAGTTCCTGATTTCCAGTGCTTATCCCAGTCTCAAACTCAATCCGATTCTGAAGGGAATGAAGGCTTTCCTCGGGATGCAAAAGAAAGGACACGATCTTGGCAGAGGTCATGTTGAGGATGTGCACTATCTGTAAGAAGAGCACAAAGAGGTTACAAGTCCCTGGATATCAGAGCCAAAGGAAGCCTGGGAAGGAGCACATGGGAACAAACATGTCAGAACTAGAGCATCATTTGAGTTTCAGTGACTGCAATCATCAATTCAGGAGTAATAACAAACTCAAAGCCCAGCCCTGTAACTTCTAATGTCAGAGAAAATGACAATCAAATAGCCTTCAAAAGCCATCAAAAGAATGGGACAAAACTACCCTCCTGCTTCTACACGTGCTTGCCTCAGCTAGTCTTACTCCAGCAGAGCTCCAGTAATGACTCCAAGGGGAAAAGTCAGGTGAATGCCACCTCTGTTCTACTACAGGCACTACTACTATGGTCCATCAGTACACCTGGAGTCACAGCACCAACAGGGCAGTTCAGGAAAACTAGTAAATATTAAACCCTGGTTTGATCTTGGTGAGCCCTTTCCAAGATGACAGACAGTAACAGAGGGTCATCCTTCTACTCCAAGTGTAAAACTAGAGATTAATAAGTGTAAAACTAGAGATTAACACTGCAGGTGATATTTTGCCTCCCAGTATGTACCAGACAGGCTGTGTTTGCATTCGCTTCCTGAAAAGCATTCCTCGTGACCCTGCAGCTGGATGATGCTAGGATTACAGCTTTGCTGCACTGAGCACCCTTCCTGTCCTCTGGGATGATTTCAGAAGGCCTTTAAACCCAGTACCAACCCTCACTCACCTTCAGATTCAGGATGTGATCCATTATTAGGAAACACCTTGGACGACCGGTCTCGGGATCTGAACCTCCACCCCTCTGCTGTGGATCCCAGTTCAGCATCAGTTGCAACCAATTTTCCATGGGTTCTACAATCAAACTGAAGCAGAGGGGCTGTAAGGAAGGGAAGGCAGATATTCTCTTCACCAGATTGAGGCAGCTCAACTTCCTGGGCCTCTTCTTGAGTGCTCTATTCAACAGGCTGTGCCCATCTTTGTGGCCTGCCCTGCACTTGCAGAAGTTTTCCCAACACAGCTTCTGCTTCCATGGAGAAACTCCCTCGAGTTCTTGGTTCATGAGATTCAATACCATCAAGTTATCAGGCAGATGTTACTCACTGGCCTTGTGGTTAAGGGCAGAAAGCAGACACAGAGTTCTGAGCTGCCATCAACCCACGAACTGGGCACAGGAGAGCCCGAAACACCAAACAAAGAGCCACGTGGGCTATTCCTTAACAGCAAACAGCAGCTTAGCAGGAGCGTTCAACACTCCTGAGGAGGAAGATGGAGGAGCCCTCAGTGCTTGGGAGGAAGGAGGAAGAGCCCTCAGTTTCCAGGACCAAAATGGTCCCCTGTGACAGGGACACACTCACCCACAGAGGCTGTGGGGCTGCGGCAGGTGGGTGCTGAACCGAACCTCCCCGTTCATCTCCTCGGAGGCAAAGATGTGCTTCGGGTCCTTCTTCTTGATTTTTTCATGCCTGCAAAACAAAACCCTCTGTGGACATGCTGGCAGTGTTACTCTTGTCAGGGGGCAGTTGAATATGGCAGCAGCAAAAAGTGCCAGTGTCCAGCAGCTTTAGAAAACAAACTCGGAACAGAAACCCAAGTTTCCTGTTTTCTGCCTCTGACACACAGACTGGTTTATAACTGTATTTCTTTTGATTGAAATTTTGCTTGTGAAGGAGTTACCATGACCAGAGGCTACCACACAACATACAAGCACTTACAAGCACCTCCCCAAGAATAAGTGTCTTACCAGGTGAATGGCTGTAGATTATGTAAGAAAGGTCTAAATCCTGCAATGCATTCAAACACCATCGTCCCAAAGCTCCAGTAATCAACAGTAACCGAGTAGGATTTATTCTCAAACAGTTCTGGAGCCTAAAAAGGATCATAAAAAGACACTTTGACCGTGGTATTTCCTTCCATTTCTGCAGAGGCAAAGCTGTGTCCAGGTGTGGCTCCCAGCTCCAGCTTCAGCTGTCCAGTGGGTCAGGGCCTGGAGCAGCCAACCCATGAGATGGGAGGGAGCTGGACTTGTTGGGTCTGGCTGGGGGGTGAGAGCAGCCCCCAGACATGGCATAGGAAGGGATGGATGGGATCAAACTCCCCTGGGAAGCCACAGGTGAAGCAACAAGGGGCAACAGCCCCAGACAACCATCTGGGAGGCTCACGAGGGACATGAGGAAAGGACACCCTGGGGACAGCTCCCCAGGATCTCCAGTTTTGGAGGTTTTAGGGCTTGGCTGGGCCAAGCTCTAGAGCTGGTGACACTGAAGAAAAAAGCCTTACCAAATATTGTAATGTTCCAACAAACGAAGTGCATAAACTTCCTTGATCCAGATCCTTTGCATATCCCAGGTCTATTATTTTGTGGACAATCTGCAGATAGTTTTAACAGTTCATCAGAAAAGCAAATGCCAAGAAAAAACAACCCAAAATCTGCACAGTGACATCCACAGCATACAATCAACAAGAGGAAAGAATGGAAATTCTGGAGAAAGTCCCTGGCAAGGCTCCAACACATGACAGAGTTAAAGCTGACAGTAAATTCACAGCTGAGTTTTCAGTCCAATCCAGTGTGACAACTTCCAGAAATGACAATGGAGGCACCACTGACAGTGGCCACCTGACTTACCTTCCCACCTTCATCCTGAAGAACAATATTTTCAGGCTTTAAATCTCTGTGTATAATTCTGTTCTCATGCAAATACTGGATACCAGACCCTGAAAGACACGTGTTTGATTTAATTGAAAATAAACTCATGTTGATTAAAGATGCATCTGATAAAATACAATACTGAGGAGCAAGTCCCCAACCTTCAAAGATTTACCACCACTCACACATTTAACAGCCTCAAACTTGCATTTCTTCTCTACTGCATTTTCACATCTTTGTAAAGACATAGCAAAGACCTTATGATGAAACAAACCCTGTTCTGGAGGTGGAAGGGGAACAAGGATGAAGGAAGCAGAGCTGCTCTTTAGTTCAGGGACACAACTGGAAGCCCTCTGAGCACTGCAAGGACAGAAGTCCAGGCCAGTACTCCAAAATGCTTTCTCATGCCAAAACTAGCTCTGTTCCTACAAATTATCTGTGAGAGACACGAGAAAACAAGGAGCTCTCCTGGAAAGCCTAGCTCCTGGAGAAACCCTGGCATCACCCTCCATCAGGCAATCCCCCTCCTTCCCAGGGTGTCCAGGAGGCCGGGCACTTCCCCATGGACAGGAGGGCCAGTTTCAAGTCTCACATCTTTAATTTTCTTATGGCATCAAGCAAGCTACAGCTCAAAATGAGCTTGGAAAATGAGGTATGTGATTAAACACCTCAAGTTTGTGTCACATGAAGGTTTTCACAGATTATTCCAGCCTTGGGGAATGGCTTTAAAGCAGGCACACAAAGGCATCAAATGCAATTGTTCCCTGTGAGCACTGCTGTCATCTGGAGCCCCTCTCAGCCTGCCTGCTCCCTTTCCAAACTGCAGAATCCCAAATCCACGTGGTATCACACATCTGTCACCCTGAACAAACAACATTTCCCTCCTGCTAAGCCAACCCTACACAGAGGGCAACTCTGGCACTTCTCACATCAGTCAGTGCTTTCTGCCTTGTAAAATTACATTCCTTCAAGTGATAAGTGGTTTGGCATCACCAGAAGTGAGGTTTGAACAGAAAACATTGATGTCATGGTCACCTACACCTGACCACAGCTTTTCCAGTCCCATTCCACAGACACATCACTAGTGTGAGTTTCTGGTCTCTGTTAACTCCAGGGACACCAAATCCTTCCTCTGAAATAGAAACCTGATTGATTTTAACACCCTGTTCTTGGCAGTCCCCTTTTCAGGGTCAGCTGAAAAAGCAAAATGCCATTACACATTAAAAAACCCAAAAAAACCCACAAGAAAGGCATTAGATTACTCACCAATGTCACTAAGCAGAGAAAGGATTTGACTTTCCTTAAGTCCACAGCAGTTTTCTGGTTTGTTTAGCAGCTGCAATAAAAAAAAAACATGTTTAGGCTCACAGTGCAACAGAGAAGAACAACATTTTCCATCCCCCAATCACTGTCTTAACGAGCTGTCAATAAGCAGCTTCAGCAATTTCTGACTTTGACTGCACTTGAGAGGCTTTTAGAGATGACTGAGGTGCCTCTGCTCCCAAGATAGATCTATGATGAGAAATTACCAGTGATGTGAAGCACAAATGATGCCAAACAAGAGAAAGATTTAAAGAACACATCACAAATAAAAAAAATTATTTTTTTCCCTTTAATGTACAAAGCATTACAGGGATCCAATGGAATGAAGCCCATTACTTCCTAAATTGTTCCAGCATCTGTGCAACACTGAAGGGCTCATTAGAAATTAAATGATCAGACACTGCAAGTAGAGCTAATTTCCTGAGCATGTAGATGAGGCAATTTCCAAGCAAATTGTGACAGGGATTTGCTGCTTTCCCCCTGTAGAAACTGCTGCTTCCTAAATCCAGCTGCAGTGGAAAGGGAGCATACTGGGTCATGCACCCACTGCCTGGGGAACTGCTGAAAGGTTCCTTTATTTCTGGATGTTGCCAATTTGCAGAATGGCAGTTCCCAGTCAGCAGGAGCAGGAAAGGCTTGGAAGCCCTGGAGGTCCCAGTCCAGGGCTAACAGGATCCTTCCCTGTGCTGAGAGCACAGTGGATACATGTGAATCCAAACCAGATCAGGTTCCAAACAGAGAGACACACTGCAGCAAAGCCAAACACGCTGAGTATGAGCACCCAGGCTATGGAGATGACACACTCCACCAGGATAAAAGAGTATGTGCCCCTTGGATTGCCCTCTGCTTTTTAAAACACAAGCCTCATTTCCCACGTGTGGCTTTTTTCCCTACTTCACATTTCCTTCCTCACACCTGTCCCTGGAAAGCCAAGGCTCTGGTGACACACCCAGTGGGGCACGTTGGAAGCAGAGCAGCCGTTACCTTCCGGAGGTCTCCCCCCGAGCAATATTCCATGGCCAGGAGGGGAACGTCGTTAACCAGAAAGTTCATCTCCTCGGGAACTTCACAGGCTTTCACTACGTTGGGATGGTTCAACCTAAGCACATGGAAAGCTGGGTGAGAACTCTGCCCCCTCTCTTGGATGAGTGAGACAAGACTGCAATCCAACCCTGGTTTATGTTCCTGGGACAGCCTCTGTTCCCCAAATGTGTCCTCTTCAACTAATACCCACCAGTATCCAAGTGCACAAAATCCATACCTTGGGAATACACAAACCAGGGATGAGCACAAACAATGTCTCAAAGTCAAGGTACAGGACTTTGATGATGGGGATCCAGGCTCAAGTTGTGGATTCTCGCACATTCCTGGCAAAGTCATTACATATGTGTGTCTGCTTTTGCATGTGGGGCCAGATTCCCCCTGGGAAAGGGTTTTGTAGGAATCCGTGTCACTGCACCGGGCAGGTGAAATCCACGTACAGAGGGAAGGATTCATTAATTTCTCCAACTGAATTCTAACAGCTATTTCCCGACTGTTTCTAATTTACACTGCTTTTGGGAATAAATGACATATCCAGATGGAAATGAAGACAAATTACTTCTGTGTACACCCACAGGAGCAGCTGTAGCTGTGTGGCTCAGTGCTTGTTTTCAGCAACCACAACAGGGATCACCAAGCCCTGACTGACAAACTCGGGTTCCCTGCAAGTGGTTTCCCCCGGTGTCAGGGCACACAGGGAGCAGGTGAGGGTGACAAAGTGACAGCAGGAGCTCAGTAAAGCCCTGAACAGCAGGGGCACTGCAGGCCTTGGGGAGGGCAGCTCAGAGCATCCCTGCTCCCAGGAGTGGGACAGAGCATTCCCTGCTCCAGGACCTCTCTCAAAAGTAGGGAGGAATTCACAGGGCAAAGGAACCATTCTGTGAGATCCCAACATTTCAGTGAGGTCCAGCTTGGCCAGCTGTGGTTCCCAGGTACCTCAGTGACACGCTGGAGAGGGATATTGGGCAGCACAGAGGACGGAGCTTCTCACCAGAAAGCATAAGGAGAGTTTATTCTTTACATTCGGGAGCGTGACAGAAAAAAAGCAATTCCAGGCCCTCCAGCTGCTAAAACAAACGTACCGCAGGGTACGGGCACCTCTGCCCAGCCCATTCAGGGACTGACCACCAGCTGTCCCCTCTTCTGCTCTGTCCCGGGGCTGATCCCCGGCTGCTGTTCCCCTGGCTGTCCCCATTCTCGGCCAGTTCAGCAGCTCAGTCCCCGGCTGTCCCCGCACCACGGTCCCACTCCCGGCCGGTTCGGGGGCCGAGGCCCTGCTTGTCCCCTCTCCCGGTCAGTTCATGGGCTGACCCCCGGCTGTCCCCTTTCCCTGCCGGTTCGGGGCTGTCTGTCCCCGGGCTGTCCCCTCTCCCGGCCGGTTCAGGGCTGTCTGTCCCCAGGCTGTGCCCTCTCCCGGCCGTGCCGGTGCGGTGCCGCCGTGCCATGCCGGGCCGTGCCGTGCCGGCTCGCCCGCACTCACTTCTTCATGATGTCGATCTCATGGCACCAGCGGTCCTTGTTCTTGACGCTGAGCTCCAGCCGGCACGACTTGATGGCCACGCGGTCGCCCGAGTCCTGCGGGACACAGCGCCGTCAGCCGGCCCGGCCCGGCCGTGCCCCCCCCGCCGCCCGGCCCGGCCCCACCTGGTGCTGGTACAGGCACACGTTGCCGAAGCCGCCGGTGCCCAGGCGGTCGCGCATCTCCCAGGGCCCGCAGGCGCCGGCCGGGTGCCCGCGCAGCGCCGCCCCGCCGGGGGCCCGCTCGGGGCCGGCGGGGGGCCCGCCCCGCTCCATGGCCCGGCCGCCGCTCCCGCTCTCCGCCTTTATCGCCGCGTCACCGCCCGGGCCCGGCGCGGGGCCGCCGCCGGCAGCGCCGCCTCAGTCCCGGAGGGAGAAGTCGAAGGGCTGGAAGTCGCGGCGGAAGGCGCGGGCCTGCGCCTCCTCCTCGGGCCGCGGGGCCGCGCACTGGCGCCAGTCCGCCCGCTCCGGCAGCGCCAGCACCGCCCGGCTCGCCAGCACCGCCCTGCAACACAGCACACACCGTCAGCAACGGGACAACAACGGGACACCCCGCCGGGCGACATCACCAGCACCGCCGGGACATCACCGCCGGGACACCCCGCCGGGCGACATCACCATCACCGCCGGGAGGGGGCCGGGGGCAGCACCCACCTGCCGAACTGCAGCGGGAACCGCCCGCGGATGCGGTGGAACAGCTTCTCCCCCGTGTCCAGCTCCACGTAGAAGTACGGCATCCCCGGCTGCGCCACCTGCGGGGGACAGCGCGGCGGGACCCGCTGGGAATCACGGAATCCATTCGGCTGGAAAAGGTCTCTGAGACCATCCAGTCCAACCTGGGACCCATCACCACTTTGTCACCCAGACCAGAGCACTGAGTGCCACATCCAGACGTTCCCTGGATGTCTCCAGGGATGAGGACTCCACCACCTCCCTGGGCAGCCCCTTCCAGTGCCTGACCACCCATTCCATGGACAAAGGTGGGAAGAGACACTGGCTCTAAGAAGAGAGCAGATGTGTCCTATCTTCCCTCTCTCCAGAGAGGAAAGGTACCTCTTCACAGGCACCTCAGAGAGACCAGCTGGAGAGGGATGGTGGGAGTTCAAACAGTCCCTTCCATAGGGATGGGTCGCTTCCTCTGGGAGCACCAGTGGATGATGCGCCCTGGGCACTACTGGAATATTTTTTGTGGTTTAATTCTGCAGTGACTGCAGCCATTAGAGAGAACCAGGCATGTCTGGTCACTCTTAACCTCAGCTGGGTCACCCTGGACTGGCACAGCACAGTTTTAGAGGAAGAAAAGCCAGTTAAGAGGCCACGCTCCCATTCCTCAGCTGAGAAATCAGCCTGTCAAAATCAGAACCTAAAACTACCTGATGTGCTGAAAAGAGGGTTGGTGTTTGGCACCAGAAGGAATGAATCCAGCAAGCCTTACACATAGCTTGGAATAATCTTTGGCTAAACAATGTATCTGAGCAGAATCCATCTGGCACATCCCCGAATAAAGTCTATGAGGCTCTGCCTCCAACAGCTTAACCCTACCCCACAAAGTGACCCTAGAGGGAAACAGGAGCCTAAGCAGGACAGAGGGGAAGGAACAGGTGAAATGTGGCCTCATACTTGCGAGATATCCGAGTGCTCTGGGATTTCTAACAATTCAATCTGTTGTTCCTGTGCTTGTGTAATAAAAGACTCTTTAATGTCTTCAGAAGTGCAGAGGTCCAGTGGGACAGGAATCACCTGGAGAGAGAGGGCATTTCCATGACAAGAAGACAAGACAAAGAGGGCCCTTGCAGAAAGCCATCAGTGCATCACTGGAGCTGGTGTGCCCCTCAGTACAGCTCAGCCTCATCACACGAGACAGGTGTCCACCATCTCTACAGGCTTAAACTTATGACATTTTTTTTCTGTAGGAGCTGAACAAATAGCTGAAAACTGAAAGCTTCAAGTTCTCAGCACTGCCTTCTCCTTTCTGATCTCTGTGGTAGTTCTGGTACAGTTCTGATACACTCACAGATCTGCCACACGCAGAAACCACCACAACGAACCCCTGAGTGACTCTCACTTCACGTGAGGTTTGTACTCAGTGCGAGTTTCTGTTCTCCCAGGGTGACACCCAAACCATACCTGGAGCTGCAGATGCTGACTCCTGTAGTTTCTTTCAAACAGGACATATCTCTTTCCCTTGCTTCTGAAAAACTCCTTTAGGGCAGCCTTGTACTTGGTCACTTCTTCCAGCACCTCTGAGGACAAGTCCACCACTGACTGATAGTGCCCAATGGGCAAAATCAGGACGTGGTCAGGTGACAAGCCCCCTTTGGCCAGGGCGAGGTAGCACTAGAGTGAAACAATACACACCAGTTACTCCCTGCAAGCAGCACACGCTCACCGTGCTGGGGGAATTCACTCTCTGACTTCTCATTCCAAGGACCCCACAGCCTCAGGGACAGGAGAGTTTTCTCCTCTATGTTGCTTATTAGGGATTGTTAATTAGCAATTTTACTTGAGTTTCTTTTTATGCTGAATTTATTAATTACTAGAGGAATGAGAGAGAGGGACTGCCAAAGGACAAACAAACAGTATCTTTTGAACACCAGAGAATTCCTTGTCTGCAGGAAAGCAGCTGAGTGAACTTCACCACTGTGGCCAGAATTTCTTAACTCTGACATGAAAATCCATCTAAAATTTTAAATTAAGCCTGTGGACAAACCTGTCCCTGTAGCAGTTTGAAGTGGACTGTGCTATAGAGGAGCAACAGCTTTAAGTGAAGTGCATGAATCAATCATTCATTCAATGATGGAATCAATCTCCAAGATGTACTTTGAGATGTTGACTCGGAAGGTATCTTCTGTTTCATCTGTATATAACCAACCTGGGACCAGTCATCCCAGGGAGATCCTGCACAACTCCAGACAGTGCATCCTGCTGCCAAAGCAGGTCCCAGTTTACACTGAGCTCCAGCTGGAAACATTCTGCCAGATGGTAACATAGGGCTGGCACAGCAAAAGGTGTTCTGACACCAAAATCCAGCTCTGATGCCATAACAAAACTGGGCCAAGCTTCACTTCTAAGAGTTTGTACTTATGTCTTTTGTATGGGAGACACAAAGAAACTGAAAACAAACCCAAGACCAATTGCAAATCAAGTTTGTTTGGGTTTTCTCAAATTGGAGACTGGTATGTTCCATTGCCACAGGTACTTACGTGTGTGCCAATACTGACAACCAGGTGCTTCTCCACCTCCGGGCTGGCCAGGCAGAACCAGCAGGGCCCCGTGGGCTGTGCTTTTTGGGAAAGGAAACGAGGATTAGCACGAGGCATATCTGGCAGAACACAGAAGACCTGTTGTTTTCCAGCCACCCTTCCCAGGTGATCAAGTGCTGAAGGTGTCAGAAGGACAGAGCTCCTGGAAGCAGGTCTGCTCAGGAGACTGGTGCCTCTGGGAAATTCCAGCAAGGGAGGAGGTGGAAGTCACACCCTGCTGACTGCCATTCTCATGGAGTGCTCTAACCTAATGAAAGAGCACTGATTCCAGGAGCTCAGTAGTTACAGCTCACTAATAAGAAAGCACCAGTAAATTAAAACAAACAAATCAAACTGAGGTAAAATCACTGCCTAGGTACAGACAAGGGCAGAGGCTGTCAAACACACTTGTCAGTTCTGGCCTATTCACACATCAAAACACCTGGATTCACACCCAAGCTGCAGTACCTGAGCTGAGCTTTGTGACACTGCCAGCTTTCACATTGAGAAGCCAGTCTGGTTCTGAGGGTGAATGGCATCAGCCCAACCACAACCACCATGGGCCAACGAGCTTTTAAACTATGCTTTTGACTCTCCTTTCACCTATTAAAACATGTTTTCCCTTGGAAACAAGAGTCCCTTCATCCTGCTGCATTCCCCCAGACAGAGCTCCCTGGCAAACTGACACATCCAGCTCAGCAGCCTGAGGAAGGTGAAGGGACACAATCCAATGGCTCGAGGAAGAGCTCAGGAAAAATGCAGCCTCCTACTTACGGGGTTTCTTGGCTTGCTTAGGCTGGGAGTCCCCTCTCTGTTTCCCATCTGAGGGACGTTTCTTTCCCTGATGCTTGTTCAAGTCAAAGAAAAACTGACGAGCTGGTTCTTCCTGTACAGAAAATGAAAAGCAAAGCCTGTTAGATCTGCATCCCAGAGAGTGACAGTACATCCAGGAATAAGATTTTTCCTGATGGGGTGTGAACCACCTTTGAAAAGCATCAACATCACAGAATCACCAAGGCTGGAAAACCCCTCCAAGATCATCAAGTCCAACCTGTGACTGATCCCCACCTTGTAAACCAGACCAGAGCACTAAATGCCACATCCAGTTGCTCTTTAACTCCTCCAGGGATGGGAACTCTACCACCTCCCTGGGCAGCCCCTTCCAATGCCTGACCACCTTTTCTGTGAAGAAATGCCTCCTGAACATCCTGGAACCCTGAAGTTTTTCAGAGATCTCCCCAAGGGAAAGCCAAGCAGTGTTCCCAGTTCCCAGGAGGAGGGGCCCAGGGTGGTACCTCTGCTCTGGCCTTGGCAGCCTCCTTGCGCAGTTTCCGGTAGGGGTTTTCCGTGACGTCCTGCGGCTGCTTCACCAGCTCCACGGGGTCCATGGAGCTCATGGGCACGATGCTGAAGGCATACAGGTACTGCAACAAGCACAGGGGGCTCAGGGGCAAGGACTGCACCTCTGAAGGGATCACACACCAGCACAACTCAGCACATCAGGGCGTGGAAAAACACCCCCCCGTGCCAGGGTCCCACCCAGTGCAACCATTTATGGAGTGCTCCCAGGGCGCTGCTTTCACTTTAAGGAAAGATCTCTTTGAAAAGCACAGTGTATCCTACTTGATGGAGACACAGCCTTGATCCTTGCCCGTTTCCAGGCCTTCTTTCTGTCCAGAACCTTTCCTGTTACCAATTACTCACTGCGGGCAGCACCCACCATGCTGTGGGAATTTACTCCCTGACTACTCATTCGGAGTATCCCTCAGCCTCAGGAATGGGAGAGTCTTCTCCTCTATGTTGCTTAGTAGGAATTTTATTTGAGTTTACTTTTATGCTGAATGTATTAATTACTAGAGGAATGAGAAAGAGAGAGAGGGACTGCCAAAGGACAAAAAACCAGTATCTTTTGAACACCAGAGAATTCCTTGTCTGCAGGACAGCAGCCGAGTGAACTTCACCACTGTGGCCAGAATTTCTTAACTCTGGACTCTGCAAGTTTTTAACCACTACCAACTTGTCATTTTGCACCAATACTCGGTAACTTTCATAAGGGGA